GACTACAAAAACAACAACTGATTCCTATTGCAATGCCCGTGAGAAGATGCTCACAAATCGTCTTGCGAGCAGTGTATCCCATAATATATGCTTCCCAGGGACAAAGAGACCCCCAAAATCATCCAGCCCGCACAATAGAGGGAAAATGATCTCCGCCGCGGCGACGACGACGACGACGACGATAACAACCACGCGGAGGAGCAGGAACAAAAGCAGGAGGAGCAGGAGGAGGTGGGGGAGAAGAAGGAGGAGGCGGAGGAGGGGGAACAGCAGCAGCAGGAGGAGGAGAAGGAGGGGTGAAGGTGTTTCCCGCCGGGAGAACGGGGGCGCAAAACCAAAGACCTTGTCAAGTTACTTCGGCCCCGTCTGGGAGGCCCGAGTCCTGCCAGGCCCCACGATCGACGGCAACGTCTAGGCCGCGTGCCCTCGCGGTCTGGGGCGCAGACGAACCGCAGGGGTGCACGCGATGCCCAACGGAGCCGCCCCGCTTCCACGGGGTCGCGGCCCAGGGAGTCCCGACCGCGAGGCCGTGCACGTGGACCGGTTGTGTCGCGCCGCCTGCGCGAAAGGAACCCGACCCAGACGTCTGACATCTTAGACAGGGGAGAGGAAAGAAGGCCGATCGTCCTCCTGCTCCTTCTCCTCCTCCTCCTCCTCCTTCTCCTCCGCCTCCTCCTCCGCCTCCTCCCCCGCCTCCCACGCCTCCGCCTCCGCCTCCGCCTCCGCCTCCGCCTCCGCCTCCGCCTCAGCCTCCGATCCTCCTCCTCACTCCTCCCTCCTCCTACATCACCTCCTCGTCCTCCTCCTCAAATTCCTCGTCCTCGTCCTCCGCTCCGCCTCGCCTCGCCTCCGCTCCTCATCCCCCCTCCCCCCCTCCTCCTACTCCTCCTCTCCTCCTCCTCTTTTTCCTCGGCCTCCGCTCCGCCTCCGCCTCCTCCTCCTCCTCCTCCTCCCTCCTCCTCCTCCTCTCCTCCTCCTCCCTCCTCATCGCCCTCTCCTCCTCGCCCTTCCTTCCCTCCTCGCCGCCCACTCCTCCCCTGCCGCGCCCCTCCCTCCAAGCCCCCGCCTCCCCCCCCCCTCCCGCCCCCCCCTCCCCCTTGCCTCCTCCGCACCCCCCGCCGAGCGAGGCCCAGCGCGCCCCGCCTGGGCCACCCCGGCGGCCCAGGGCGCTGCCAGGCCGCTGGCGCAAGCCGCCGAGGCCCAGCGCGCCCCAGCGCAGCTTGCGGCGCGGCCCCCGCGTGCGGCACGGGCGCCGCCGCGCGCCCGCGCCGCCCCACCGCCTCGAGCTTCGGCTGCCGCCGCCCCGGCCGCGCCCGCGGCCTCCGAGGGCTGGACGGGCCGTTCGCTGCCGGAGGGGCGCCGCCGCAGCGCCGACGGTTTCGCCGCCGGGCCGGCCGCGGCCGCGGCCGGCGCCGCGGGGCGGGGGCCGGCCGCCCGCGGCGGCGCGCCGCGGTGGCGGCAGGCCGCCCAGCCGCGCCGCCTGGGCCTCGGCCTCGGCGAAGTACTCCGCGCACTGGCGGTAGTCCGCGGAAGCCCCCACGAGCGGGAGTTGGTGATGATGGTGATGGTGATGGTGATGGTGATGATGATGATGATGACGATGATGATGATGATGATGATGATGATGATGATGATGATGATGACGATGATGATGCTGCTGCTGATGATGGTGATGCTGATGCTGATGCTGATGATGCTGCTGCTGCTGATGATGATGATGATGCTGGTGATGACGATGATGATGATGCTGGTGATGATGATGATGATGATGATGACGGTCCCCGCGTCTGAAGGGGTCAGGAGCAATGATGATGATGATGATGATGATGATGATGGTGATGGTGATGGTGATGGTAAATATGATGATGATAATAGTGATGCTGATCATGGTGCTGCTGATGATGATGATCATCATCATGATGATGCGGATGATGATGATGCTGATGATGCTGCTGCTGATGATGATGATCATGATGATGATGCTGATGATTATGATGATGATGATGATGATGATGATGATGATGATGATGGTGATGATGATGATGTTGCTGATGATGATGACGACGACGATGATGACGATGATGCTGAGAATGAAGTGCCCCCAAGCGCAGTTCTCTGGGGTCGCCACGTGCGCCGTCCTGGCCCTTGGCCGGGGAGGAGCGCGCACCGACCCCAGTTATAGGCCCGGGGTGCCACTGGCCGGGCCAGGCCCGCGTGCACAGTTCTCGCCGCGCCCGAGGCTGCGGCGGACAGCCTGCCCTTTCAGCGGAGGGGGTGGCCGCGCGCGAAGGGGGGCACCGGGACACACGCAAGGAAGCAGAGACACGTGGAAGGATACCCTGTAGTTTCTGACATCTTTTCTGGGTCTTCGTCGCCCCCCACCCTCTCCACTTCCCAAAAGTTCCCCATGCGTTCTCTGGGACATCGGCGATTCTCATTGTGTCTGCATGCTTTAGGGGGCAAACAGGCATACCTCGCTTTTGACCACCCTCGCATCCAAGAGATGCCAAGCGATGCCAAACTACGGCCAGCACTGGTTAGGCCGCTTGACGAGGAGGCGCGTGGTATGACTTGGTTTTGCCTGGAAGCGAAAGCGGGGTAGGTAATTCACGCTGATGCGTTTTCCTCTCCTGGGGATAGCCGCACCACTGGACGCTCCTTGCCTCTCGGCGGCTGGCCGCACCGCCAGGCAAAAAAAGCGGGGCACGCGCAGGGTGGTGCCCTACGGGCGGGCCGGGGGGGAGGTGCCGCCCACCAGTGGGCGCTCGGGGGGGGTTGGGGGGGGGAGGTCTTCGGGGGGGGTATGGGGCGGGGGAGGGGGGGGTGTTCGGGAGGGGGGGGGGGTTCGGGAGGGTTCGGGAGGGGGGAGGTGCCGCGTCGGGGCGGGGTTGGGGGGGGGAGGTCTTCGGGGGGGGGATAGGGGTCGGGGGAGAGGGGGGGGTTCGGGAGGGGGGTGACTTATCGTTTCTCGCGAACGGACGTTTGGGTTTCCCGTGTCCCGACTCTGGGGGTTTCCCGTGTGCGGACGCCCGGGTTTCCCGGGTTGCGACCCGGGGTTCGGGAGGGGTTCGGGAGGGGGGGGGTCGGAGGGGTGTGGGTCCCCTCGGTTTCCGACCCCCCCCCCTCAGGGTCTTGTTTCGGGAGGGAGGGCCCCTCGGTTCTTCGACCCCCCCATCAGGGATTTTTGTGCGGCGCAGCCGCGGTGGATCGCGCCCCCTCAGCCGCAACGACACGAGGAAAGACTGCGCAAGGCCGTCCCAATTACCCCTCGGCCGTGGGCCATGGACTTCCAACTCTGGCTTCGACCTGGGCGCCCAAGGGCCTTGCGTTCCCACCGCGCAACCTTGCGATCCGATCGCACCGTAATTGGCCCTCGCCCTCCTTTCTGGTCCGCTGCCCACCCCCGCTACACGCCGCACTCTACGCGGGGGGATCGACTGCGCACGGCATCGTATCTGGCGTCGCTTCTTCGTCCTATCTGTTGAGATCTGTCCCAAGGCTGCATCGGAGCCTCAAAGGAGGGGCCCAAGAGGCAAAACAGGGAGCTCGAACTGGCCACAGGAGCCATCCAGCCCAAGATGGCCCCCGAGACTGTCAGCGGGCCCGAGAAAGCCTTCAAACAAGACCCCAGGAGGCCTCAAGAGGCTCCCGAGAGGACCCCGAAGATACCCTGAGGAACCTCTGGTCCATGTCTGACCTCGGGCCTAAAATCTGTTTGCACTTTGTGGGCCCCGGAAACGGCAGGGCCGTTTTTTTCACCGCTTCCAAAAAAATGTCAATGGAAAATGGAAACGGCAAAACAACGGCGACCGGAAACGGCAAAAAAACGGCTCCAGGATTGGAACTGGAGGCGGAACCGGTCAAAAAACGGCGACGGAACCGGTAAAACAACGGCGTCGGAACAACGGCGTCGGAACCAGCGAAATAACGTCAGAACGGAACCGGTAAAAAAACGACCCTGTCGTTTCCAGGGCCCACTAAGCCTCTGGTCCATCTCTGACCTCGGGCCTAAGATATGTTTGCATGCCTGCGTCCGACCGGACTCCGAGCGACGAGCAGGTCGGCGATCACAAGCAAGTTGCCTGGTGGTCGCGCGCGACATCCAGGGCCAGATCGCGCGGCGGCCAAAGCTTCGTAGACTGTGCCTGGGCATTTTTGAAGGGGCCCTGGGACACACAAATAAAAAGACACAAATAGCAGGACTCCCCACACGTCCTCTACCTTCTAGGTCTTTGTCTTCCCCCCACTTCCCATACGTTCCCAAATCTTCCCTGGGAGTGGACGATGCATTGTGTCTGTGTGTTCTTTCCCCTCCTGAATGTGTTGTGTCCCTCCCCTGGCCCCGCTACACGCGACACGATCGAGCAACTCGACTCCACCCTCGGCCACCCGAGAGCCCGACCCTGGCCTCCCGAGGCTGCGGCGATCCGCAGGCCGAGAGACGGAGCGCCCGTCTGGACGGAGGTGATCCCACCGCGAGCGCGCCCTTTTGACCGCCACCTCCCTCGCGGGCCCCTTCAGCTCTGCCTCCTCCTGCTGTGCCGGCACCCCCGTCCTCCCGTTCCTTCTTCCCCTTCTCCTCGTCCTTCCCCGCCTCCTCCTCCTCCTCATCCTCCTCCTTCTCGCTTCTCGCTTCTCGCTTCTCGCTTCTCGCTTCCCCTCCTCCTCCTCCTCCTTCTCCTCATCGTCCTTGCCCCTCCCAAACACCAGCATTTGCAACGATCTGGAAGTAGCGTGCGCCGAAAGAGGGGGATGGGAAGAGGGGGTGCACACCATGGCGCGAGGCGTGTAGGCAGACGGGTGGGGGCCAGCGGATGCTTGGAAAGCAAAGAAGGGACTACGAGCTCAGGGAGATACCATGGCCCCGACCATGATAGCTGCGCCCCCTAGTCCGTCCGCCCCTCTTGGACGCCCCCGACGAATATCGGAGGAGGGCAACGTGAGACAACGGCCGTGAGACAACGGTGGCCAAATCGGCTCAAAATCGGTCCCCGGACCTCTCCCGGGGTCCAAACGCAGCGATTTTTCACGTTGCGTCCAGCCGTGTCGACGAGGAGTCCCCTCGGAGGCGAAAAAGGCAAAAACGTCACCCTTGTCTCACCCTGCCCTGCTCTGAGAATAGCGGCAGCTGGGGACCCTCTGCCCAGCGCATGCGCCAGCAAGAGGAATACTCCATCCACTCCGCCGCCTGCTCGGGCCCGATCTCGCCCTCGCCCTCGCCGTCGTCGCCCCGCCGCGGCTCCAGCACCACCTCGCCGGGTGCCTCGCTCGGCACGCCCGAAAAGGGGTACGTGAGAACGAATGGAACGGTGCCCAACGGCAAGCGTGGCCCAGATGCGGGCAATGGGTATATCCACATCCAGTGAGTCTTGGAATTTTGGGCGACCTTCCCCAGAAACTGGAGGCGCACTGGATATGGATAAACATCTGGCCCCCTAAAGGCTCGATGTTTATCCATATCCAGTGCGACTCGGCCTTGCGGTACCCCTTCCCAAAGATTCCAAGACGCTCTGGACATGGATAGAGATATTGCCCGCACCAGACCCGACGCAGCGGCCGCTGCCGTGCGAGCCAGGGTCTGTCCGTTATCCACGGGCCGCGGAGCCGACCTCCCTGGACCTCGGCAGGCGGGGGACGTGGATACGCTCGAGCCCCGGAGTCCCAAATGAGTGATCCCGAGTCGAGGGTTCGAGTGGAATAGGTCCCCGATTGTCGGGGTCCTCCCAGATATCAGGATCGTGGATACACTCGGGGATGTGGATACACTCGAGGATTGGCTCTTCCATCTGGATGTGGATACACTCGAGGGTTCACGAGACCCCCCCCCCAGATGGGAGAGGTCCCCGGATTGTCGGGGTCCTCCCAGATATCAGGATGAGGGGCGACGACGACGACGACAAAGGCGACGACCCCTGGATTTTCCTGGAGGCCACGCCCCCCTCTTCCTCCTCCTCCTCCTCCTCCTCCTCCTCCTCCTTCTCCTCCTCCTCATCCCACCGCATGCCCATTTCGGCACACCCCTCACGCGATTCGTGGCCCGACACGGAGCTCAGCCCAAGGCCCCAGTAGCACAGTTCACCTGCGTCCACCCCGCCCACCGCATGTCCGTTTTGTGACACCCCTCACACGATTCCTGGCTCCATAGGGAGCTCCACCCAAGGCCCCAGTGTTAAAATTCGCATGCATCCACCCCGCCCACCGCATGCCCATTCCGGCACACCCCTCACGCGGCCCCAAGAGGAGCTCCACGTGTGTCCACCCCGCCCACCGCATGCCCATTTCGGCACACCCCTCAAAGTTCGTGGCCCCATAGGGAGCTCCTCCAAGGCCCCAATGGAACAATTCACGTGCGTCCTCCTCCTCCCACCGCATGCCCAGGTCGGCACACCCTCACACGGTTCGTGGCCCCACAGGGAGCTCCGCCGAAGCACCCCACCGGCACAGGTCACCTGCGTCCACCCCGCCCACCGCATGCCCATTTCGGCACACCCCTCAAAGTTCGTGGCCCCATGGGGAGCTCCGCCCAAGGCCCCAATGACACAGTTCACATGCGCCCACCCCGCCCACCGCATGTCCATGTCGGCACACCCCTCACACGATTCGTGGCCCCACAATGAGCTCCGCCCAAGGCCCCAGTGGCACAGTTCACATGCGTCCACCCCGCCCACCGCATGCCCATGTCGGTACACCTCTCACACGCGTTGTTGCTCCATAGGGAGCTCCACCCAAGGCCCAAAAAGCACAATGCACATGCGTCCACCCCGCCCACCGCATGCCCGTGTCGGCACACCCCTCACGCGGTTCGTGGCCCCATAGGGAGCTCCACCCAAGGCCCCAGTGGCAGAATTCACATGCGTCCACCCCGCCCACCACATGTCCATTTCGGCACACCCCTCACACGGCTCGTGGCCCCAACGGGAGCTCCACCCTAGGCCCCAGTGGCACAATTCATATGCCTTCCCCCGCCCACCGCATGCCCATTTCGGCACACCCTCACACGATTCGTGGCCCCATAGGGAGCTCCGCCCAAGGCTCCAGTGGCACAGTTCATCTGCGTCCACCCCGCCCACCGCATGCCCATTTCGGTACACCCCTCACATGCTTTGTTGCTCCATAGGGAGCTCCACCAAAGGCCCCAATGACACAGTTCACATGCGTCCACCCCGCCCACCACATGTCATGTCGGCATACCCCTCACGCGGTTCGTGGCCCCATAGGAGCTATGCCCAAGGCCCCAGTGGCACAGTTCACGAGCCCTTCCTGCCCACCGCATGTCCATTGCAGCACACCCCTCACACGATTCGTGGCCCCATAGGGAGCTCCGCCCAAGGCCCCAGCGGCACAGGTCACCTGCGTCCACCCCGCCCACCGCATGCCTGTTTCGGCACACCCCTCACACGATTCGTGACCCCATAGGGAGCTCCGCCCAAGGCCCCAGCGGCACAGGTCACCTGCGTCCACCCCGCCCACCGCATGCCCATTCCGGCACACCCCTCACACGATTCGTGACCCCATAGGGAGCTCCGCCCAAGGCCCCAGCGGCAGATGTCACATGCGTCCTCCCCGCCCACGGCATGTCCACTTCGGCACACCCCTCACACGGCTCCTGGCCCCACAATGAGCTCCGCCCACGGCCCCAGTGGCACAGTTCACATGCTACTCCCCGCCCACGGCATGTCCACTTCGGCACACCCCTCACGCGCTTCGTGGCCCCATAAGGAACTCCACCAAAGGCACCAGTGGCACTCCGTAGCCATTTTGGCTCCAGCTGCCTCCCCCCCTTAATTACGCGTTCGCGGGGGCCCGTGCGATGACGACTACGGGGGGCCGCCCGTCCTCGTGGAGGCCCAATGCGACTCGTTTGTCGGACACCGCTGATGCGGCGAGGCGTCTCGCCCGCCGCAGGCGCCGCGATGCCTGCGAGGCGTCGCGCGCGGGGGCGGCCGCGCCGAGCAGGCCGCGCTGCCCGCGCTGGTCGCAGCAGCCGCACAGCGGCGCGTCCCAGGCAGGGCGCGCCGGCGGCGCCACGCTGCCCTCGGCGCGCGCCTCCTCGCGGGCTCCGCCGCGCCTCGGAGGCCGAGCTGGCGCGGGCGGCAGCGGGGGAGCGCCTCGGGCAGCAGGGCCGCGGCACCGCTCCCGCTGTCCCGAGGCCGGCGTCGCCGCTGCTGAAGTCGGATGCCCTGTCGTTCGCTCCTGCGCACGGGCCGCCTCGGATGTGCACTGGCGGTGCCGCGGCCTTCTCCCCCGCCGCGGTGGCGGAGCACGTGGCGGACGTCGTGCAGCCCCAGGCCGCGGAGTCCCAGCACCCCCCGTCCGAGGAGGCGCCGTGCGCGTCTCAACTCTTTTTGTTCGCTCTCTCCGCCATCTTCGCCTTCGTTGGTGGGTGGTGGGGAGGTCCTGGAATGCGAGGTGGAAGAGGACATCCCTGGCCCGTCGTCGCTGCACGGCGAGGCGGACCTCCAGGGCTCGGACGAGGCCAGCGTCTCCCCGCCGCTGCCGGCGCTGCCCGTGGAGCGCGAGGCGGCGCCGCCTTCGTCTGCATGCACCCTGGAGGCGGGGGGAGGGCTCTGCCAGCAGCCGACCTGTCAGCGACGGTTCGGCCTACACCTCAGCGCTCTTGCATTCACTGGGGACGGCCCCGATGGGCGCCAGATCGGCGCCTCCGCCACGTCTGGATGAGCGGCCGCTGCGCCGCCGCGCGACGAGGGAGGAGGAGCTAGACACCTTTCGTGAGGCTCCCGCCCCAACTCTCGGGCCTGCCTCCACCCTGGACCAGCGTTTCCGCGAGATGGAGGTACAGTCGAGGCGTTGACCTAAGGAACCCTAAATAAGGAACGAGGCCCTTTTTTTCCATAAGTTAAACTTCGATTTCGCATCGAAAACCAAAGGAAAATTCAAGGCAACACGGAGCCCCTCCCCAACGAAAAGGGTTCCTTCTTCAGGGCCCCGACTATAGACATGGATCGAGGCGATGGCGGGCCTCGACGTCGAGCAGCGGCGCACCTGGCGAGGCGACGTGGCTGGCCTGGCAGGTGGCCCGCACCGAGGTAATCCTCGCCGCTCTCTCCCTCACGATGCTCGCCGTGGCGTGCCGGCGCGGTTCTCTGTGCGCGAGGAGGGCACGACCCTCGTCGACGCCCTGAGCCTCATGCACGATGCCTTCGGAGGCATCGAGGGCAGGCATCATGGTCTCGCCCTGATCGCTGGGAGGAACAGCACCTATACTGTCACACAGGCCGTGTGCGCGGTGGCCGTGGGTTGTCTTTGTACGAGCGGGTTCGAAGCGAGCTGGAGCTCTGACGTCGGCATACTTGTCAGAATGCTGCTGGCAAAGCGGTCGCTGGACTTGGCGCTGCTTGTCGGCGGCACGCCCGTTGGGGGTCTGTGCCGTTCGCAGCCCTACCCTTCGGCGAGAGCTCTAATGGGAGCAGCTGGGAGCAAGGGCGTCTATACCCAGGTCGACTGGAGCACTCTGCAGGTCTCTCTGTGACATTTTGCGGTTTTATTGTCCGGTCATGTATCGTCGCTTGTGCATTGTCATTGCCACGCCATGCCATATTGTGTTGGACGTATATTCTACAATACTGTGCTGTCGCCTCGGCTTCGCTCATATTGTTCGGCGTTTACACGTTGGCGTGAAGGCTTGGAAACGTTCCCCATTGCGGGCAGTGCGTTTTGAGGGTTGCTCGATTTCACTCGTGCTTGATTGTGCGTTTCCCTGTCGATTGGGTACGCTACTTGTCGTTATCGGCGCAGGACGTGGCATGTCCCCTCGAATTAGCGGAGCAGGGTGTTCCCAGATGGTCGGTCAGCGCTTATGGGCTTCTCAATCGCAGTGGGCACCTCAGTTGAGCCGTGTGCAGTCGGCCTGTCTCTCTTCTCACGCTTGCGCGTAAGCCGTAGCAGCCGTGGCGAGGGGTTGCCGCAGGCAGGGCGTTCCCTACCTCGCGCTCACCCTTGCCCTGAGGCTGACGTCTTCCGCTTGCTCGGGCCCACAGCGGCTCGGGCCAGGCCGCTGCGGCCGCCAGAACCCAGAGCTCGCGCCGCGCGAGCCTGGCTACACAACAAAAAAAAGGCACCAGCGGCACAATTCACATGCTCCTCCCCGCCTACCGCATGCATATTTGAACACACCCCTCACACGGTTCGTGGCCCCAAAGGGAGCTCCACCCAATTTCAGTGATACTGGCACTGCACGAGAGTCTCCTCCAACCCCTCTCCGCAGCTGTTCAATACGAATGCTACTCTCACACTTCAAAACTTCCCATGACACTGGCGTGCAGGGTGATGCTGGATCCCCGCTTGAAGAGAAAATAACCCTCACGCGGATCTTGGCCTTGTAAGTCTCTGGCCCCACGCCACGGTTCGTGGTCCGAGGCGGGAGGTCAGCCGGAAGGTGGGCCCAGAACGCGGCATCCACAGCTGCTTATGGCTGGGTCTTCGTCACGATGATTTGTCTGGGGGGCCGGCGCTGGATCTCTCACGTCCACATCTGCCGCGCCCTGGATTTCAGGAAGAGCGGTTCTACAGGCGGCGATGTGGACAAGAACCTGGTTCGCATGTTGAGCAGGCGACGTCCGTCTGAAATGGACACCGCCCGCTGCGACACCGACAAGGAGTGCTGTCTGTTCAGAATGGGCAAGACCTGCTGCCAGTCTTCGTTCTCGTTCTTTCCCTCACCTCGGGCGGGTGGTAATGGGGGGTGGCCCAAAAGGGGGGTGAAGAAAAAGACCCTCAAGGGGCCCTTCAGGGCACCACCAACCAGCTCCAAGAGGGGTCTTGAAAGGCCCGTTTGTCTTCACCCAGCGTTTGGGTACCACCCACCCGAAGAAATTTGGGGGAGCAAACAAATGCCGGTACCGATCCTCCCAGGACTCCGAGGCGGATCCTGCTTCCTCTCCTCCTCCTCCTTCTCCTCCCCCCTCCTCCTACTCCTCCTCCTCCTCCTCCTCTTTGCCCTCCTCCTTGCCCTCCTCCTTGCCCTCCTCCTTGCCCTCCTCCTTGCCCTCCTCCTCCCCTCCTCCTCCTCCTCCTCCTCCTCCTCCTCCTCCTCCTCCTCCTCGTCAACAATTACATTAACAATTACCCAATATGAATATACTCTCCCTCTTCTCCTGATGGCGTCCGGGTGATGGCTGCGCACCCTCCGCGTACTGTTTTTTACACACAGGATGCCCGGGAAATCCCGGGAAACGACTCTCGCTGAGGCGCCGGCGTCATTTGTTCCAAAAGTGCTGCTCTCGTTGAGGCGCCGGCCTCATTTCTGCTCCCGAATCCTTCCCCTGATGGCGTCCGGGTGATGGCCGCGCACCCTCCGCGTACTGTTTTTTTACACAGGATGCCCGGGAAATCCCGGGAAACGACTCTCGCTGAGGCGCCGGCGTCATTTTTTCCAAAAATGCTGCTCTCGTTGAGGCGCCGGCCTCATTTCTGCTCCCGAATCGTTCCGAATCGTGCTCCCGCTGCAGCGTGGGCCTCATTTTCGGATCGGTGTTTGGCCTCCGTCGTTCAGGATGGCGTTCTCGCCCCAGCGCGGGCCTTTTTCTCGCGCGCCCATCCGCCCGCCACCACCGCGCCGCACCGCCACCACCACCACCACCACCACCACCACCAACCACCACCACCACCAGCACCAGCACCACCACCACCAGCACCACCACCACCATCACCAGCACCACCACCACCACCATCACCACCACCACCACCACCACCACTACCACCACCACCACCACCACCACGACAACCACGCACACACGCACGCACGCACGTGCACCACCACCCAGTACGCACGCGCGCGCGGAGCCACAGGTCCGCTACGACACGCGTCCGCGGATAGAGAGAATCAGCGCCATGGTAAGGGATGGGAGGGAGGGGTAGGACGTCAGATATGACGCGAGCGCACCTAGCTTGTCTGAATACTACTCTCCTCTCTCCCCTGGAGATGTCCAGGAAATGGCCGGCCACTCTTCGCGTACTCGTCTTTTACACGCAAGAATCCCGGGAACGGGTTTTCGCTGGGAGTTGTCTTCGAAATGATGCTCTCGCTGAGGCGCTGGATTCATTTTGGAGCCACCGCTCGTTCTGAATCGTGCTCCCGCTGCAGCCCTGGCCTCATTTCCGCGCTTCCGCACGATCCGAATCGTGCGCCCGCTGCAGCGCTGGCGTCATCATTTCCAGCGCAATGCCACGGCATGGTTCAAAATCTAGAAAAGCCCCCCCCCCCGAAAAAATCATCGGAAGTGATTACACATTCGGTGTCGGCTCGTTGATTCTATGGGTCGCAGAAGCACCCTCCACTTTGAAGCGTCGCCAAGCATGCTATGTCAGGCTCCGCGTCCTCAGAATCGTGCTCCCGCTGCAGCGCTGGCCTCATTTCCGCGCTTCCGATCGTTCAGACTCGTGCTCCCGCTGCAGCGCTGGCGTCATTATTTCAAGTGCCATGCCACGGCATGGTGTCGGTCCTTCCAACTAGGCCCCAAAATCTACACCATGGCCTCCCGAAGGGACCATAGGAAGTGATTACACATTCGGTATCGATTCGTGGATTTGTTTGGCCGCAGAAGCCTCCCCCGTCTTCGACACCATGCTATGCCATGTAATGCTATGCCATACTGCGACATCCGAATGTGCGAATCTGAGCACCTCCATAGTTCTGGGCCCCCGGTCTACAAGGGCCCCACGGACTACAAACTAGGGCCCGCCACCCGGACTCGGGGACCCCCCCGCCGGACTACAAGCACCCCCCCCGGACTACAAGGGCCCCCCGGGCTACAGCCACCGCCTGGCCACTTTGCCTGCGCCCTTTGCATGGGGCCCTTTGCCTGGTCCTTTGCACGGGCACACAGCGGGCCACGCGCGCAACTGCGGCCGTTTTGCCTGGCCCTTTGCATGGGGCGCATGTCCGCGGTCGTTGAGCTGGACGTCGCCCCGCGAAGATCAGTGCCCCCCCCAAAAAAAACTACAGGACCCCCCCTTGGACTACAAGGGCCTCCCCCCCGGACTACAACGGCCCCCCCCCTTCGGACTACAACCCCCCCCCCCCGGACGACTACAGGACCCCCCCCCCGACTACAGGGCCCCCCCCCGACTACGGGGCCCCCTCCCGGACCATTGGTCACCCCAGAACTATTGAGGTACTCAGAGTAGAGAGGAGATCTACACCATGGTAAGGGATGGGAAGAAGGGGTAGAACGTCAGATATGACGCGAACGCACCTAGCTTGTCCCCCTCCCTCCGGCTCCTCCTCCTCCTCCGCCTCCTCCTCCCTCCTCCTCCTACTCCTCCTCCTCCTACTCCTCCTACTCCTCCTACACCTCCTCCTCCTCCGCCTCCTCCTCCTCTTCCTCTTCCTCTTCTTCCTCATCCTCCTCCATCGCCTCCTCCTCCTCATCATCATCATCATCATCAGCATCATCATCATCAGCATCATCATCATCATCATCATCATCATCATCATCATCATCATCAGCATCATCATCATCATCAGCATCATCATCATCATCATCATCAGCATCATTAACATCATCATCATCATCATCATCATCATCATCATCATCATCATCATCATCATCGTCATCATCGTCATCATCAACATCATCAGCATCATCACCATCACCATCACCATCACCATCACCATCACCATTACCATCAGCAGCATCATCAACATCGTCCTCATCATCATCCTCATCAACATCATGATCTCATCATCAGCATCATCATCATCACCATCATCCTCAATCATGAATCCTCAATCACTAACGTTCACCACCATCATCAGCATCATCATAATGATTGTCATCATGATCAGCATCATCATCATCAGCATCCTCGTCATCAACATCACCATCAGCATCATCCTCATCATCAGCAGCATCCCTCTCCTCCTCCGCCTCCAATCCTCCAGCTCCTCTTCCTCCTCCTCCCCCTCCAGCTTCACCTCCGCCTCCTCCTCCCTCCCGGCTCCTCCTCGCCCTCCTCCTCCTCCTCCTGTTCCTCTTCCTCCTTTCTCCTCCTCCCCCTCCTCCTCATCCTCCTCCTTCTCCTCTTCTTCTCCCTCTGCGTCTTCCTGCTCCTCCTCGTCCTCTTCCTCTCCCTCTTCCCCTTCCTCCTCCTCCTCTTCCTCCTGATCCTCCTTCTCCTTCTCCTCCTCCTCCTCCTCCTCCTCCTCCTCGTCCTCTTCCTCCTCCTCCTCTCCTCCTCCTCCCCCTCGTCCTCCTCCTCCTTCGCCTCTTCCTCTCCCTCTTCCTCCTCCGCCTCCTCTTCCTCTTCCTCTTCCCCTTCCTCTTCCTCGTCCTCCTGTTCCTCCTTCTCCTCATCCTCCTCCTCCTTCATCTCCTCCTCCTCCTCCTCCTCCTCCTCCTCCTCCCTCTTCCAATTCCTGTTCCTCATCCCCTTCCTCTTCTCCTTCTCCTCCTGCGCCTTTTCATTCTCATTATCATCATCATCATCAGCAGCATCACCTTCAGCTTCAGCATCAGCATCAGCATCATCATCAGCAGCAGCAGCAGCATTGTCATTATAATCATCATCATGAGCATCAACAACGTCAGCATCAGCATCATCAACATCGTCAACATCCTCATCGGCACCAGCACCATCATCACCAGCAGAAGCAACGTCATCGTCATCGTCATCATCATCATCATCATCATCAGCAGCAGCAGCATCATCATCGCCATCATCCTCACCATCAGCATGATCATCATCATCACCCCCATGATCCTCATCATCCTCCTCATCATCAGCCTCATCATCATCATCAGCATCATCAGCATCAGCATCAGCATCAGCATCAGCAACAGCAGCATCATCATCGTCATCATCATCATCATAATCATCATCATGATCATGATCATCATCATCATGATCATGATCATGATCATGATCATCATCATCATCATCATCATCATCATCATCATCATCATCCTCATCATCATCAGCATCATCATCAGCATCATCATCATCACCTTCATCGTCATCCCCATCCTGCTTCTCCTCCTG